TTATTCTAAAAGCATTTGCACAAATTGGTTTTTCTTCAAAAATATATTCTGTAGAAAGTTTAGATTTTTTTGAATTTCAAATAATATCTGGTCATTTAGTGGTAGCTATAATACCTGATAAAAATATATCTTGATAAGGCTTAGATAAGTTTTTAATTTTTAAATATCTAGAAAAGGCTATAGAATATTTATATTAATTTTGTAAGCAATTTTTTTCACAACAATCTTTATTATAAGATGCTTTAAATTTATTATTCTGTAATAAACTTATTTTTTCTTCTAATTTTTGATTATCATTATCTTGTTTTTCTAATGAATCTGCTGTTTTATAATATAATGTTTTAAATTTAAAAAGCTCTAATTCAGTCCATATTTCATTTTCTAAAAGGATATTTTCTATAGATTCAATATTTTCAGATTCTTCAAATAAAAATAAATTATTATTTTGAACTAAAAATTGAAATTGTAAATTTGAAAGATCTGTTTGTAATTGAGTATTTTCTTCATAAGTTTTCTCAAAAATATTTTTGTTTAAAGAAAAACTAGACATTTTTGTAAAAAAATCTAAAAATTTGAAAAATATTTAAAAAATTAAAATATTTATAATAATTAATAACAATACAAATTTTATACAATAATTAATAAATTTAAAAAATTACAATATAATAGAAACAATATAAAAATCTAGACTAAACTATAATAATTAATTTCTTTCGCTATATACAATTAATAAACTTTATAAATCCTGTGAATTTTGCGTATTATTATGGTTAAAACAATAACACATGCAGAATTCATAAGATTTACAAAATTTATTGAATATACTAACTTAAAATAGCAATAGCATTAAAAAATTTATATTGTAAAAAAAACAAATGCATATACACAGCATTTATAAACATCTTTATTAATTTTCAGAAATAATATTAAAATCAGATGATACTGAAATTTGGATCTATACGCTTTTTTTGTCAATCTTTTTAATATGTAGTTAAATTAGGATTTAGGGTTAAAATTATTAATAAAAGTATAGATGAATTTTGGTAAGACTGATATTTTTAAATTGAGACCCCAAATTTAAACACCATTCTTGACATTAATATTTCTAAACTATTATATATAAACCTGTTAATAAAAAAAATTTTTATTGAATCTAATCTATATGAATTTAGTATTGTTATTTATAAATCTGTCATGTACCTCTATCACTTAATCAAGAAGGTTTCATTAATAGTAGTTTTTGAATTCAATCCAAATAAGTTTTAAAAAAAAGGCATTCGTTACTTAAGCTCAATTGCTGAAATTTCATTGCCTTGTAGGTTTTGATTCTATTTTTAAGACAGTTACCTTTTCATATACCCTAATCCACATATAATTGTTGTAACCAACTAATTAATTTCCTACATCAGTAAAGATTCATTCTAACCCAATTCACCTAATTCAAGAAGAGTTTTATTAATAGTAGTTTTTGAATCCAATCTAATTAAATTTAAAAAAAAAATAGTAATTACTTTTCTAAATTGTCATGTGCTCTAACCTGCGCATAACTGTCATAACCAACCAATTAACTTGTTATGTCTATAAAGATTTGTTCTAGTTGTTTTTGGCCCCTATCACCTAATCAAGGTTTTATTAATAGTAGTTTTTGAATTCAATCCAATTAAATTTTTTAAAAAAAGATATTTATTGCTTAAGCTCAGTTGCTGAAATTTCATTGCCTAGTAGGTTTTAATCATATTTTTAAGACAGTTACCTTTTCATATACTCTAACTCACGTATGACTGTTGTAACTAACTAATTAATTTTCTATATTTATAAAGATTCATTCTGATTGTTTTTAACCTAATTCACCGAATTCAAAGAGTTTCATTAATGGTAGTTTTTGAATCTAATCCAAATAAATTTAAAAAAAAATAGAAGTTATCTTTCTAAATTTGTCATATGCCCCTAACTCATGCATAACTGTCGTAACAAACTAATTAAATTGTTATATCCATAAAGATTTGTTCTGATTGTTTTTGGCCCTATTACCTAATTAAGAAGGTTTTATTAATAGTGGTTTTTAAATTCAATTCAATTAAATTTTTTAAAAAAAAGCATTTGTTGCTTAAGATCAGTTGCTAAAATTTCATTGCCTAGTAGGTTTTAATCACATTTTTTAAGACAGTTATCTAACTCGTACATAACTATTACAACCAACTAATTAATTTCTTTCATCTGTAAAGATTTATTCTGATTGTTTTTGACCTAATTTACCTAATTCAAGAAGAGTTTCATTAATAGTAATTTTTGAATCCAATCCAATTAAATTTGAAAAAATTATAGTTTTTGATAAAACTTACTTTTTTAAATTTGTCATGCGTCTCTAGCCTGCGCATAACTGTCATAACCAACCAATTAACTTGTTATATCTATAAAGATTTGTTCTGGTTGTTTTTGAACTTTATTATTTAATCAAGGAGGTTTTATTAATAGTAGTTTTGAATCCAATCTAATTAAATTTTAAAAATAGATATTCGTTGCTTAAGTCAATTGCCAGAAAATTCATTGCCTAATAGGTTTTGATCCCATTTTTAAGACAGTTACCTTTTTATATACTCTAACCCACGTATGATCATCGTAATCAACCAATTAATTTTTTACGTCTATAAAAATTTATTCTGGCTGTTTTTAACCCAATTTACCTAATTTAAAAAGAGTTTTATTAATAGTAGTTTTTGAATCCAATCTAATTAAATTTAAAAAAAAAACATTCTTTGCTTAAGCTCAATTACTAGAATTTCATTGTTTAGTAAGTTTTTGATCTCATTTTTAAGACTTTTCAAATTTGTTATATACTTCTAACCTACACATGACCGTTATAACCAACCAATTATTTTGCTACATCTGTAAAGATTCATTTTGGTTGTTTTTAATTTAATTCATTTAATTTAAGAAGAGTTTTGTTAATGGTAGTTTTTGAATCCAATCTAATTAAATTTAAAAAAAAGCATTTGTTTCTTTAATCCAATTGCCAAAATGTTATTGCTTGGTAGTTTTTGATCCTATTTTGAAACTTAGTTATCTTTCCAAATTTGTCATACATTCCTAATCCACACATAACTATCGTAACCAACCATTTAACTTGTTACGTCTACAAAAATTTATTACTAGTTTTTTTTTTAATACAATCTACAGAATTTGTCTTCATTACTGGTATTTTAATCCAACACATAAGGATATAGAAGGCTTCTGCTGCTAGTAGTTTTTGAATCTAATCCTTTAAGACTTTCTTTTCTTTATTAGTTGTTTTAAATACAATATATTTTAATATTTAAATAAAACTTTTGAAGTTAAAGAAAAAACGAGCTTAAATCAAAAAAAATTTTAAAGTTAGAAGATCTATATTTCTAGAATTTTCTATTTAATTCTTGTTGATCTAAAAATCTTTTATTTCTATTTTTAGATTTCTTTGCATTTTTAGTTTTTTGTACTTCATCAAACTTTTTATTATGTAATTTACTCTTGCAACTTATGACAAATTTTTATTAAATATATATCTATTAAAAAATCTAATAAAAAAATTTTTAAAAATATAAAAATGGGCCCTTTTAATACAGAGCACTTCATATTTAACAATGAATTTTGATAATATAGAACATTTTGTTAGTTTTCTTGATAGGTTCAGAAAATACTAGTTTGAAATTTGAGTATTGTATGTATTTTAGTCTCAAGACCAAGTTTACTTAGAGCATCAAGTAAGGTTTAGTAGAGTATGAAGATATAATTAATTTTTGTTAGATAAATTTTAGATATAAGAAGAAAAGTTTGTTGAAAGTTAGTTTATTTTTAAGTAAATTTTGAAGATATTATCTAGAAGTTTTAATATAAAGTATAGAAATAAGTTTATTTAGAGTGCTAAGTAAGGTTTGTATAGTAGAATATAAAGATATTGTAAATTTTTTGTTAAGAGTATAGTATATATATAGTGAAATTTTAGAAAGGCCAATAAGTTTTCTAGAAATAACCAGTAAGTTTTCTAAGTTTAGTAAGCAAATTTTTGGAATTTGTTAGATTTTAGAAAATTTTAATAGATGTACAAAAGTGAAATTTTTAAAGCAAGCCAATAGAATTTTAGAAAATTGCTAGTGAATTTTTAGAACTAAAAATACATTTTTTGGCAAAGGAGTTTGAAGTTTTTTGATATAAAATCATTAGTTTTGGTCTATTTGTAGTATATTATATATTAAAATATTTGTTTTGATAAGTAGAACAAATTTGTCTTAAGTAAAAACTAAGATTTCTTAGCAAGAAAAGAGATAAAAAAGTTTTAGTTATAGTTTTATAAGTTTGAGTTTATTTGTAATATATTATATAGGGTTTTAAGATTTTTT